ATTGGATTTATACCCCACCCTTCACTACCCAAAGGTGTCTCAGAGCAGCTTACAAACTCCTTCCCTTTCCTCTTCCCCACAACAGACACCCTGTGAGGTAGGTGGGGCTGAGAGAGCTCTTGACAGAGACTGCTCTTTTTTCAAGAACAGCTGTGCCAGAAACTATGGCTTGCCCAAGGTCATCCAGCCAGGTGCAAGTGGAGGTGTGGGGAATCAAACCCAGTTCTCCCAGATTAGAGTCCGTCCACTTAACCACTACACCAAACTGGCTCAAAGAGCTCTGTCACATCTCCCTGGAAAGTATGATGCTCATATTCCTGTGACAGATGGAAAATAGTTCAGCGGGCGGCACCACAATCGTATTCGGGTCCTGCTATTTTGCGCCATTTAAACAACAGGTGTGCACAACTGCCAAAGCCTATTCATATTCTATTAGCGGTTTTCCATACTTTGCGTGGCAAGTCAAATCCTGCGGGCCTCTCGTTGGTGTTTTATCAGGTTATGGATGTTGGGTGGAACTGACTGTATCCATATTTGAAACCATTCATGCCCTAGATCTAAATTTTGTGATGGCAGGATTCGTGCAGATCTTATTGCTGGGTGTCGGGATCTTAATCTGGATAGGCCTGTGTCAGCCATGTCTTTGTGGATGGGCAATTCTCTGATTTCAACAATCTTTTTATATGCACGAAGAAGAGCATCTTGTCTTCAGAGATGTGGGAGAGCGATGTGGCACAACATGGGTGGCCAATAGGTCAGAGTGGGTTTAATACTTCTGCTGATGGTTCTCATTGTTGTATTGAGTTGGACATCAAGTTTGTGGACTTGGGGGCTGTTGAGCTACACTGATGTACCATATTCAGTGTAGTTATGTAGTTCACCAACGATATATACACTTTTTTTACATGGAACTACTACTTAACTTAAATCAAGAGATAAGTTAAGAGATATAGGGCTTTAACATCAGGAATGTTTGGGGGGGTTGTGTGTTTCTCTTGCTTACCATGTAACCATTAGGTGGCTAGGCATGACAGACCCCAATGAACAGGGACACATGCCAGCTGAACATAACATAATATGGTACTAGGTACTATTCATATTAATGCCTTATTACAGGCCACAAAACAAACTACAGACTGGCAACTAGCCTCTCTTCTCTCTATGAATTCCACTAACTGCAATTGTGAACACGTAACTGCAATTATACACTTGCGTCTTCACATTTCCCTAACAGGAAACACTTTTCAGGAAAGGGAAATCCAACTTCAAAAAGCAGGTCTGTGGCATTTTAATTACAGCCAAAAGTAACCATAATACAAAAGGAAGCCTTTCAACTAATGCATACACTGTGTTTGCTTACGATGAGTGATAAATATATCAAGATCCAACAGTTGCTATATTTATAGAATTACTTCCTTTTCCATTGTTGACAATACTGTCTACAGATTAAAATACATAGACAGATGTATTTGCACAGAATATACGGTACTAAAAAAGGCAAATGTGATTTTGGGCTGCATCAACAGACATATAGTGTCCAGATCACATGAAGTGATGGTATCGCTTTACTCTGCTCTGGTTAGAGATGTAAAATTTCCGGAAATTTTGAAGCTCTGAAAAAAACCCAGTTTTTTTCTGGAAAAATTGAAAAAAAAATGCCATATTAGCACTTCTTTTTCTTTTCCAGATTGAAAGTCATTCTGTTACTTTAGGAACATAAAATATGACAATGGACATTTTTACTCGGCATGAAATTATCATAACTAGCATATTAAAAATATAGTGTATCCAAACAATTATTACAAACAGAATACCCACACACACACAAAAACAAAACTGAAACCTTTCCCTTTTCTTGTGACAATAGCACCTCCTAAAAGAAGAAGAAGAAGAAGTGTATCTGTGTTGCTCTTCAGGATAAAAGCAGCTTTTTAAAACTCGTGACCATTCAGTAACATTTGATCAGTCAAATGCCCAGTTAAATGGCAATGAGACTCTCATTCAAAAGATCTCTATTTTACCAATAAACTTGAATGATTTAACAACCATATATTGCCAAATTATTTAATTACTGAATCAATTTCTATGCGAATTACATAAATTTCTACCTTCTACCAAGTCCATTCTCTGATTCTTCTTATATGCGGCCAGCCTCCACACATTAAATACAGTGAAATTGGCCTGATACTTAAGCACTTGTCACATATACTACTGGGTGGATGGTGCATGAGCTTGCAACACATGTTCTTCTTCAGAAAAGACTACAACTATAGCAGTTAAGTAGGAAAAATCTAGTCCACATCATTTATGATTTGGGACACATATACCCTTACAAACCCACCTGGCCATTATGGTCAACTTTGGTGCCCACACCGCCTGAGATTAGGACAACAGCAACCCAGGAGAGGACCTTCTTGGCTTGGCACCCAAGCTCTGGAACTCTCTCCCCAGGGAGCTTTGTCTGTCCCCTTCTGCTGCCATCTTCTGCTTTTTGCTTCATTTGGCATTCCCTCAATGATACCTCCTTCCTAACCAATGTTTCTATGTTTTGTATCTATTTTCAGTGTTCTGTATGTATTTCAACTCTGTGTTTTAAACTCTTTTGAAATTGTTTTAATGATGTAGATTGGGGGGGGGGTGATTTTAATAGTTTTATAATTAATGTTACCATGTATGGACATAACTCCAGCAGAATTTTATTTTTTAAAACATTGGAGTGCAAAAGACCCTCATTCCTGTAATTACTACAAGATAATACAGTGATGAAAAACAGAGGCTGCTATCGACACAATGGTATCTTTGACTGAGGTCCGATTTTCACATTATGAAGGTGGTCCTATTTTTACATTATGAGGTCCATGTGGTAGACATGTGGACTCAACAGATTGTGTGCCAGGAGTGCCATGCTGGGAACCTCAACTCCCCGGGCCTGATTTAGAATTGGGACCATAGAGGAGAACAGGCTTAAGCATCCCCACCCCACTTGTCTAACCTAAAGTGGCCCCATGAGTTGCTATTTTCCTCTTTGTTTCATGTAAACGTTCTCAAGGAAATAAACAGAGGCTCCCTGGGGCCATTTCATCTGGGGGAAAATGGTCCAGGGGGGGAGGCTTAAGTCCTTTCTCCCTGTATGGCCATGGTCTGATCCATATCAGACCCATGTGCATCATGGAACAGAGTTCACACCACAGAATACCAGGCACATATCTGACTCCTTGAGGCAGACACACAGTCCTCGTAATGTATTCCCTCAAAAATACTTTCAATTTAAGAAACACAGACTAATTATATGCTCAATTGTAACTTAAACCATGTTGAATTTAAGTCAATTAGAACACCATCTTTGTTACCCCAGCTCAGGGCTGATTCACACATTTACAGTGCCCATGCACTTGCAGCAGGTACATACTGCCAGTCAGTACTGTATTTACTGAACAGCAGTACATGATGCAGCCTCAGCTTGAAAACCAATGGAAATTCTTTAATCCCATGACTACCCTGGGAAATCTATTATAGAATCTCTCCTCTTGTTCACTTCACATAAAAGCTTTCCACATACAAAACTGTCCCAGTTTACCAAATGAATCACATGTCCTGAACCAAAGAGAGCATCATTTGCTTGCTGTAGGATGAATACACTGATTCTCATTCAGAATTACTCACTACAGAACAACAAAGGATTTCATGAATGTTTTCTGTAATTTGAGAGTGGAAAAATACCCCAGGAAATTTAAGGAGTAAAATAATGCTTGCCCAATTTCAGTCCACAAAAATACTACATGAAATAGTAGTGCAGTTTCACTATTGTTTAGTAAATTTAATTCCAGTCTGGAGATTGTTGATCCATCATATTTTCATCTTTGTAAGGACTCAAATACAGAAACATTAATTGTGCAGATTACTTCATACAAAAGCAGCAAAATAATTCTCATGTGACAATCTCTCTCGCCAAAGTCTATTCTTAACTAGCTCAAGAACACCACAGAACCATTAGGGGGTTGTTGTTTTTTCCCCTGACTGAGTTTACAGTGCCATTTCGAAATAAACTTGAGTATGGTATGATTGTGTTTTGACTACCAACTAAATCTTAGTAGAACAAAGTTATTTGTTCAGAAAGAACTGTGACTAAGCCACCTTACAGTGGGCTTACTTGAATCAGTGGGGGGGGGGAAGTTATTTCACTCTGAACTGTGTTCAGATCTCCTCCTACATAAGTCACAAGTATTTTTATGGGACAATCACTACTGTTTTGAACTATGAATCAAATGAAATATCGGTTACT